ACATAAACAGGTACTGATGTTTGATAGTGTAACTTTCTGGCATTCTCTGGCTAAGACAAGCAAGAGTGTGATGTTTCTCTACAGCCGTGCCATTTTTGTTTCCAGTATCCACTCTGTACCAAGGCAACTGGTGTGGGAATGCCTTTTCCAAGTTTCCAAGTTTATTTTTTAAAAGAGTACTTGTACAACTCCATTATACCTGCATGGTGAACTGTAAAAATCCATCACCTTGATCTTCAACATACTTCATCATTTATTTCAAATGAAATACTTACACTTTCCTCTTGGGACCAGTGCAACGTGCAGGGAAACTCTTTGTAGGTAAATGTTCCCTTCCATAGGTATAGTTTCAGTTTTCCTTAATAAAAGGAATAAAGACTATAGCTCCAGTCTGGGATGTGCAGAGCAGCTTGCCATTCTATTGAGGTTGCACTCACTCTTATGGTGTGTATATAAAAGTGAGCCCCCTGCGACACACACACATGCACAATTGATACCTCTTGCTTTGTTTCACCCACACGTGTTGAGGGGAAATTGTGGGGTGAGACTCAAGTTCACAAAAGAGCTGTGACACCTCCTATGGTATGGAAAGCCTATGAGAATTCCAACTTTACACAAAAACAAAAGTACAGAAAACTATAATCTGTACCTATAGGAAGTCTTCCATCTGAAATTACCCATGGTATCTAACTGTTGAAGTTTTTCAGCAAAGTGCAACCCGCTTCCCAAAACCCTTTATAGTTCAGTATTAATTTGTTATAAGCTCAGATTTGTTCAACTTTGCTGAACCTAGGTATATTGTAACAAAAAACATTTCAAATTCAGTGACTAAGAGACTATGTTCTCATTCTTTGAGAAGAAAAATAAGCCATGATGGCTTCTGTTCACCATCTCGCATGTGCTTGGTTGCATGCCACTTCTTTTCCAGAATCAGCCACATTAATTCCTATGTTTTCTGACCCTGGAGCAGATGAGCAGCAAGAATGGTTGCCAAACCCTGGAAGTCCAGAACAAGCCCTGGGATTGCAGGGTACTTTGGAAGCTATCACAGACCAGATGCTGCTTTGCTTTATGTTCCTCTGTATCTCTCCTGACATCAAGTATTTTTGTTGCTTATTTCTGTTTTTTTCTTTTACAGCTTTAAGTTTGTAGCATGTCAACTTATTTTCACTTATTTAGGCCAAATAATTGCTTATACTTTATCTTGCTAAAACCTAGAAACCTTTGCTTCACATCTATGTTTCCTTGCTAAATGCTGTTAAGAGCTTGTTTCAAAGACATCCAATGAACTTTCCTTGCTCCCCTGAATTGTCGTCTGCTTTTGGAAAAACATCTGGTTAAAATGGTGGTGTAAACACAACACTTGGTGTACTGTTTTGAGCTGTAAAGACATAAAGAAGTGTGAATGCTGTGTGAATTACTTTCTTTCCAGACTAGACTTTGTACAGGCTTGGAAAGCAGAGCAGGGAAAGAAAGGAATAGTGGTGCTGAAGACATCACAATCAAGTAATCAAAGATGAAAGGAAATACGGCCATGACAACTGATGAAAGAAGAATGTGTGTGAAGCCATAGAACAAAGTTTAAGTGGACAGCAAGGAGGAGGGGGTAACAGACCAGGGCAATTGTAAGAAAAATTGTCTGGCAGCCTAGAAAAACCTTGAAAAGTATCAATGGCTGGTGCGTGCTATAAAGAACTGCAGATTCCCAGGAACTCTCTCTGAAGGGATGCTACTGGTTCACTTGCAAAGAAAGCAACTGTAAAGATCCCTGCCCTAGACAACTGCTGCCCTTCTCTTGGAAAAGTATGTTCTGAAAGCAAAGGGGCATGACACAGCAAGACAACCTTCACCCCAGTCCACAATTGCATGTTACACACCTGGTTAACCTGCATCACATGTTTGGAAGTATGAATGTGCTAGCAGTCTCATGGGGGACTGGGTTATAGCGTCACAGCCTACATCAGACAAAGAAAAGCAGGGAGTCCCTGTCTTAGGTGAGGGTCTGTTGTGTGTGCTGCCCTACTGGCTTTAAGTGGAGACTGCCTGTGTTTTGTTACTTTGGGGAAGGTTCCCCATCACGTATATTTGTATTGTGCTACTCTGAGTAGAACTGTCACTTGTTTGGTCAGTGATCTCAGTGAAGTGAAAATAGGTGATTAGTCTTTGCAATAAAGCTTTTCATTTTTTTTTCAAACTTAGTGTGTTCCTTATCTCCACTCTTAGAAGAACCTAGGAAAACTCAGCCAGATCAGCTTAGCTTTTCTGATTTGACAGAAAGTGTACAACAAAGCTCAGCTCTACTGCCCATCTTGCTAGGTTTGGACAACGCAACAAGCTTGTGCAGATATTTATGGAAATAAGGCAATCCACAAACAGCCTACTGGGGAGGAGAAGAGAAGCCTGATTGTGAGAACTCAGCCAAAGTTTCAGAATATCATTGAATAGTTCAGTCATTCTGGCTTGACAATATGGTGACTTTATATACATGTGATGACATAGGAGAAAGCAACAAAACTGGTCTAACTAAACCAAACAACAATTACAAACTTTGTAAATTGCTCTGGGGGCCATTTGACTGAAGAATGTTAGCTTAGACCAATCAGCTTGCTCAGACTTTACCTGGACAAAGATAGCCTTGCCCTGTTTATTGGTGCCCTGGTAAACTTCACTTAGGTCTAGTGCAATGCATGCATTTGAAAATGGTCTTGAAAAGGCAGGTTGCTTACTTTTTTCATGCAAAAAAGGCAAAGGAAGTGGCTGTCAGCAGGTGGAAGTTCGCTCCCATGCCTTACACATTTCCTGAAAAGTTCCTTCAGGGCCTAAGAAGGAACCAAACTGCCAGGAAGAAGGAGTGGAAAGAGAGAGAGAGATCGAAGGATCAGAGGAACAAAGAAGGGATTTGTGGGGGGAAGGCAGTGAGAGGCAACATTCAATGGAGCAAGAGAAAAAAGGCAAGAGAGAGCCACAAAGGCAAAGACAGAAAGGCAAAAAGTCAGCAACTGCAAACAGATGAACTTCCAGAGGTTAAGAGGTTATGGTTGACCATAATGGTGGTCAAGGAAGAACTGAGGGAATGGGCGGGAATCCCTTTAACATACTGACAGTGAGGGTGGGGAAGCAGTTCCCACCAAAATTCCCTCAGCTACAGAAACTTCTCAAAGACAGGCTTCATGTGGGTGCAGAGCCCATATGTGTGATGCATGGAAACCACAAAGAACTTCATTTAGTTCAAAATAGGGTGGTGAGATAGCAATAAAGTGAGTGCTTCATGGGTTCCCATTCTGTTTTCAGGACCAATTTAAGGTGCCCATTTTAAGGTCCTTCTTGGCTTGGAATGGGGGTACCAAAAGATTTGCCTTCTCCACATGTATCTAGCATGAAATATTTGGAAGCCCTTCTCTGAGTGTCTCGGCTAAGAAGGTATGGAAGGTGGCTGGGTTGGGTGGCTACAGGCAAAAGAGCCTTTTTAGTTGAGGTATCCTGGCTGTGCAATATCCTCTCAGAGATTCACCTGGCACCTATCACAGTGTATTTTCAGTGCCTGAGGAAGAATCCGCCCCCCACACCTTCTAATCTGTTTTAGCATTAAACTGTTTTTACCCTCTGCAAGTTATATTTTTATAATACCTTTATTTTTTGCTCACTTTTTATTGTGAATTTAAAACCAAACCAAAATCCAACTAACAATAATAGCAACAGAGAAAAATAAAATAATAAAATATTGCCATGTGCTTACACAAGAATGAAGTAGGTCTATTACATACATATATACAGTGTACCCCTACATATTTATATATAGGAAGATATGCTACTATCATTGAAGATAATTATGCATATTCAACAAAGGCAGCCCAAATATCCATATATTTTCCCATTTGATTTTCGTATTTGTAAATTATACTTAAAAACCACTCATCTGAAAAATTCACCAAGTCCTCTACCCTTTGTGTTAACACAGCTGGCTATTTATTGTTCCAGTGTTATAATATTAGTCATTTATCAATCAGATCAGAAACCCTTCAGAAAGTATCACGCCCCCCCCCATCTCTTTTTGATGAACTCCACCTGATCCAGTGGGACTAAAGCTGCAATACTGTACACTAGTCTATCGGCCAAAAATGCAGTTAACATTTTAATGTTGACATGAATCAATGAACTAGGTTAATAACTGTGATCTCTATTAAGTTTAGGATTGCAGTAATTGTTAAGTACTGACAAAAGAGAACCTGATTCAAAAACGAAATTGTACAGATGATAAAGCTTGGGAACTAAAAAACTAAAAAATGTTTAGTCCACCCAGCCAAGGTGTTTTCCCAATCTTCATATTAGCTATTGTGTTTGCAATTTCAGTATGCCTTTGTAAAGGGAAGGGAAGGTTAACATGAGAACAAGATCCATATCTTGTTCTGATATTTTACAATTAAACTTTTCATTGTTATTGGATTTTTAATTGTTTTATTTCTAGTTATGAGCCACCCTGAGAACTTTGTTATACATAAATAAAGTATATAAGTAAATAAATGTGCATGCTACAGTCAATTGTTATCATACCATCTTCAACTTTCTGGGGGAAAAAACTATTGCCTATCTTCAATCTTAGACTGATAAGCCATGACTTTCTATTCCAGTTTGTATACTTGTAATAGCTGAACATTCCCCTTCAGTCGTTTCATCGCTCTTAATCAAAAATTGAATCTGCTTATCCCTCCCAACATTTTAGCTTGAAATTCATTTCATTTCTACTTGTATAAAGAGGACACTAAGTGAAAGGACCCATCACCATACACAAAAAGAACAAAAGAGAAATGGTATAGTTCTCAAAGGGCCCTGAATCCAGGCATTGTTAATGGCAAACATGACTATCTTTATGGAGCAGACAATTTAACATTGAGCAGAAAAAGTCATAGAGGGAAATTAAATGGAACTGTCCATCTGCGTCCACACATTTCACAGTATTGTGACTCAGAAGTGCAATTACCAGCAAACTGACAGGCACTGACCTCTAGCCTTGTCTCGAGGTCTTTGATGTGCCGTTGACTGTTCGTGTGCTCAGACTGCAGCTTTTCAATGGCTCCACTGCTGTTCGCCTCTTGGGTGATGAGCTGTTGGCACAAATGGAAGACTCTTTGTAAGGGTGAAGGCAAGTAGGCCAACAAAGGGGGGACTGGAATGACATTATTAGCTACTTTGTACATAACCTCTGTTGTGCTGCCAAATCATGTAGCTGCAATGCTAAAGTAAAACAGCCATCTCATTCAACCTTGCTCATATATGGTTTTATCCCTTTACCTGCTGCTCTGCCTAATTACCGGAGGCAAGTCCTCCATGGAAGTTGGTGCCAGAGGTAGTATGGGGGGAAAATATTACACCTAAAATTATTTGTGGTGTGGAGAATGTGGTGCTGGAAAAGAAGAGCACTCTGAGTCTTATATATGCCGGGCCTTCACAAATCGCAACACACCAAGCTCATTTATGTCAGCCTACCAAGTGTGCGATAATAGCTGCCAGTCAGGGGCTACTAAAACAAAGACTTTCAGAAGCATGACTGCTAAGCTATGGTTGGCTTTCTGGGTCACAAGATTGGAGGGCATAATCTGTTTACAACCCTCTCAGCTTGTATATTGTAAACATATATTACAGAACAGTACAAAAACACTATAAATGTCCACTTTTCTCTCCTCACAAGGAAACTGATCTTGGAAGGCAGTCCTAGAATATGCTACTGTTCAGGGAAGTAAACTGCACAAAACAGCATTTACTTCCAGTATCTTCCAATACTGCTGAAGGATCTGCTACTCTACTGTTTCTAGACATAGCTAGGTATAACCCCATACTGAATTCACATGCCACAACAGATGTGAAGCACATGCATGGGGGAGGGTTGCTCTGATCCATTTAAAATTAAGTAAATACGTGCCTGCCCCATTATTTCCCAGTTGCTATATGAGGCTATATTAACGATGTTAGGAGTCAGAAAGTATACATACCTGGCTCAGCTTGAATGATTTTATACTTAGGAATATGTACTTAGGTATGATAAATAAAATAGGAATTGGCTTGAGTAACAAGGTAGTGATGATTGGCACTAGCCAACTGGTGCTTATCACACTTGTGCCAATCAGCACTCATCCTACCTGCAAACAGCACAAACAACCAGGAAAGCTTCCCCTCTCTTCCCACACCTCAAACCTAGACTGAAAAGATAATGGCCTAGTTCATGCATCACAGCTACCCGAATAGCCATATATAAGTGAGACAAACAAGCAGACTAGTGTCTGGCTGCCCCCAATGAGTTTAACTGTTGAGATGTTCCATCTCTTAAAAAAGATTATCTTGATGACCAAGCCCAGAAGTGAAGGTTGCTGGGGACAGGAAAACACAGACTTGGAACCCAGAAAGGGTTGCTCTTTCCCCAGCAACCTGTCCCTGAGTTTGGACATCACAATCAACAACCTAGGGATGAAGCATTCCCATGTTGCTTAACTCAGTGGCAATGAATGGATGGGAGCCTGCATGGTCACTTTTTCCTTCTTCATTATCAATAACCATTAATTGTTTTTGCATTCTTGCTGCTACTGTATATTCAGGGGCAGCAAGAATTCTATCAAACCTTCACTGCACATCACATTTTACATCTTTCTTTGTCCTAAGTCATTCTGAATTCTTCAAAGGAAGAGCAAGATATATTTGCAGAAAATAAACATATACATTGGCTTAACATTATTGGTATTGATAGATGCTTCTTGCTGATATTCCCTAGTTAACTCCAAATTCAAAAAGCTGAACATAAGAGGTATCCATTTATAAGAAGTGGAAAGGATTTGCCTGTTTTGACTGTGCATGTAGAAGTACGTTGCACAAGAGAAGATGAACAGTGGAATAGTGCAGGATAATTTTTCATATTCGGGAAGTCAAATCTTGTGTGTGCAAAATTATTTATGAGAAAATCATGGTTAAAATTCTGCCTATTACTGGTGACAATATTTATTTTATTTATTTATTTAAAAATTTCTATGCCGCCCCATTCGCCAAAGCCTCGGGGCAGCTTACAAAACATCAGTTAAAATATAAAACACTAAAAATATAAAACACATTAACATTATAAAATAACATGCAAACTAATTCATTGGCAGGATTCATCATACAGGAAATGTTAGACATGATATAAAATTTAGGAGGTCTGCATAGTTGCTGGCTACTTTGGTTTTATTAGACAATTCACCATATATTAAATCATTTCTGCGAAAGCATTCCTTGTATGTTTGACTAATAAATTCAAATAGAGCCTTTAACTGCAGGCAGTTGACTGGTTGTGTTTGGCTTAGTTTACAGCATATTGTTTAGTAGGCTTTTGAGGTAAGGGTAAGGCAAAATTATGTTTTTATCACAAAACCATAAATGAAAATGAATAGTGAAATGTCCTGCCTAAGCCAGGGGACATAATTAACACAGATTGTTAAGTTGCTCAGCATTTCACCACATACTCATTACTGTGTGTGGGTTTGTTTGTTATTTTTCATAAAATACAGACCTACATTTTTACTGTGCAATACATAACTGGCCCTGTTGGGATTTTTCCTACAAAGACATTCAGTGCTATTTCATTAAAAATTAAATTAACACAGCGAATGCTTTCAAGATGATGTAGCGTTTTAGAGGGAATTTACTAATATGTTATTTATTATTAGTATTATTTCTTGCATGGCACTGCATTTACATCCTGTCTTTTTTGCCTTCTTATGAAGAACCCAAGATGACTTACAAAGTCCTCCTCTACTCCATTTTATCTTCTTCCTGTGGGGTGGGTTCAGCTAAGAGTCTGTGATGGACCCAAAGTCACCCAGTGAGCTTCACACTAGAGTTTTTCCACATTTTTACTCCAGAAGAAGAAAGGTCAGGTGGCAGAGCCCATGTGGCATGGGGCCTTCTGTGTTTTGCACTCAGGAATTTGTACTTAAGTGCAAACTATAGGGTGCGATGGTGTTCTTGGGGTGAAGAAGGGTACTTAGGCAGTCCAGAAGGACTCATTTATTGTGCTTTATGGTTTGCTTCTTGCCCCACCCCCCACATACAGAAGCTAGAAACATTTCTGCTCAGTACATTATTTTTCTCCATCAGCCAAGTCTTTCTTCCCACTTCCCATGTTGCTCAAACATCAAAAAGCGGGAACCTGTCCCTCCACTCAGTCAGTGATGGAAGCTTGGGGGTTTTTAAAAAGAGGCAAGAAGCAACGCAAGAATGCAAAGCATTCTTGCCCTCCAGCAAATCTGGTTGCTGTATTTGTTGTACTTTAACCTTAAGGGTCAGCTTGCACATTCATGTCCATCACTTATTGCATGCAGCGTCATGATGATGTTCATATGAATAAGCTTTCCCAGATCTCTTGCTTCAGAGAGAGGCGCTGCATCCATTTAAATGATGGAGATCTTTCCTACATTTACCTGTGAGCCATCAAGTGCAGAGTGGGAACTGTGTGTGAGTGCAACAGCCCAGAGAGAGTCATATTTCACTTACAACAGTTTGAGGTACCTTATAAATAAAGAAATATCTTAATCAGTTGAGATGAATCATACTCTTCTCCTGCTCTGCTGTCTGGCAACAATGTGCACAGAACCAAAGCCATATTAAAGTCCAGCAAAGCTGTGAATAGCACTTCTGCCTGGCTGATGTTGCAGCTTCTAACAAATCAGCTTACAAAGCATCTTTAGGTTTCTTTTAGGACAGCATTGAAACAGTCAACAGTTTTTGCAAATGTTTTTGACAGTGTAGAAAAAAGACTGCTCTGTCTAGAAACTTTTCAGCACTGCTTGTATACATTTTCACATCGGATGCAATCCTGTTACTCCCCACAACAGAGGTACCTAAACTTCCAAATGTGCCCATCTAGATTTATTACCAAAGAGGTGTAGGAGGAGGCTGGCTCACCAAATGAAATCAGTATAAGTCTGCACCCCAGGTTCCCCAGTCCCTGGATATGCGCAAGGCCCAGTTGTGACCTAACAGCCAGAATGGTTCTTTCTGCATTGACTCTGAGGGGATGTGGTTTGGCCTTTAGAGGCCCACCAAAGAAACTTATGGCCCCCAATTCATGTCAGGAGGTCACACACTTGCACCATAAATCATTTAAAGGATAATTACATGCCTATGCTCTCGTGCTATCCTTGGTGCTCAGTGGTGATAAGCAAATGATTCATAATCATTGGCTGAGGGAATTAGCAGGTATACCACCATGATTTCATGGCTGTTGTGAACTGCCCAGAGAACTTCGCCTGTTGGGTGGTATAGATATTAAACAAACAAATAGATAATTTCATCCCGTTTATTGCTGGCTGCCTGGGATCACTCATGTAATTAATTCATGAACAAAGAGGAAAAGCAGTTTGGGCATGAAGTGGAATAGGAATTATAGTAGGCAATAAAGCAGCAGCAACTTGGGAACGGGATCATTTAACAAAGGAATGTCCACACAAGCTAAGCATTTGGGAGATAATTTCTTACATTGCCAAACCAATTCAGACCCAAACCATGTCATCACAAATGGAATCACAATTACAAAATACATTCACTGCTTCCTCTTATTCTGTAAGTATGAAAGTTCGATATGAGTGAAATATTGCTGTTTGATAACAGTATCCATGCTTTTCCCCCTGCTTCTTATCCCCCAATTACAACTGAGCATTTGCTTTTTAAATCCATAGTCTTTGTCACCACAGGATAAAACAGTAGATTATCATCAGGAGAGGTTTGACATGATATGGAAAAAAAGTTAATTCCACACTTAGGATCTTAATTTAAAAATAATTTGTTATAAAGTAATTGCCTCTAGACATTAATAAGCACTTTGTTAATTAAGATATTAAGATGGTTGAGACCAAGGTGAAACATAGGGCAACAAACTCGACAAATGTTGAGTATAAAGTCTCAACAGAGCGATATACTTAAAGACTTTAATTTAGAGATACAGGACTGCTCAGGAGATATTTAATTGTTCAGCTCAGAAATAGTATATCTGGCATAAGTCAAAAATAAAAAGGAATTCTTTCTTAAGAGTGCGAATCTCCACATCTCTCAGGGGAAGACTAACTGGTATTCATGGTAAAGG